GACAAATAGTGCCAGAATCCAAATAAAATCAATATTACACCTAATTGCCTCACCAGTGATCTAACGTCCGAAAAATATACTGCATTCCCATCAATTCGACCAACCCACATTACAGCCCTACACACGTGTCAACATATAACATTACAATTACATAAACGACAATAACATTGTGTACTACAGTACAAAAAACTACCATTGCAATTAGTATTGCACACCTTAAAAATTAAACCCACAAACACACACGGTACTGATCTATCACCGTATGTATCATATGCATTGCTTATCACATCTTTTTCTGTCTCGGTCATCATCTTCCACACTGTGTTACAATTCGTGATTCCAAAACCTGTGAAAATTTTCTTCCCATTACCAACACTGTCCACATCAATCACACTTTCGCTTTTCATCACATCGACACTACATCCAACCCCCCCGGTCTTAGAATCGTTCACTTCGTTGTTCATCACCCGTCCCCTACGCCTCAACTCTGGATACTCAAACCCTGATAACTTTAGATTTTTCCTCACTTTACCTTTGATGTTACGTACAAAGGAGTTCAAACCACCCACAGCACAACCACCTTCCGTCAACAACGGACTCACAACAACAACGTCACCGTCATCTGCTAGGATGGGATCGTGCATTTCTCTGTTGTCAACTATGGGAACATATGCGACGGGAGAGGCGTCCACCATGATACCACCATCAACAGTGGGGTAGTGGTCCAGTCCATCACCAACACCAACCCCATTACGAACAACATATCCGTCAACAGAAGGGTCCGTGACGTTCACACTGGTAAAATGTTGCGTCACACTATGCACTACTTGCTCAGCAACTTGTTCCTCAAGGGCTGCAAGGCTCCGTCGTAACTCGGCAACTTAGCATTCTCAGCTACAAGTTTCTTGCATTCTTCATCTTTCACCTTAAAAATGCTCTCGAATCCTGCCACCAAATTAACTCATTTCATTCATCCTTTTTAATCTATCAACTTCGTTCTTCAATTCCATTACAATTTTGCTTTCTCCTGCGTCCACAGTTATAAAATCAGGACTTCTTGAACCAACATGTCCGCAATTGCTCTTCCCGGTCGGACTACTGAACGGGGGTAAGAACTTACCATCCCCTCCATCCACCACCTCGCTGGATACACCCCCACGTTCCAGACTACGCATGACAAATGTCACATTAACGTCTTCCTTATGTATGCTCCCACTACACTGCTTACCATGGCTCCGGCCCTCCACTTTAACAGCCACTGCAGCAGTCCCACTAACAGCCAGTCCTGTCACTTTACCACCCTCTTCTTCAACCAGACCCACATTACCTTCCCCCAACATACCCTTCCCCTCCAACATTGACACTTCGTGCGCCTGTACAATCAACTCGTCAGTGATCACCTATCCAAAACAGCATATTTTACAACCCAACATCAGTGCAACCACACATAACAACAACAGCATAAAACACATTACACACTGACAAAAAACACAATGATTCATAAATAATTACCTCAAACTTATTTGTCTCGGACAGTTCACACCTTGTGAAGTAGATATCAGCTCACCAACGTCCCATCTGAGGAATCTAGGGAACCTGTTACCATATTTCGGCTTCACAATGTTTGTATGTTCACACAACCAGAACTGCACCACAAAGAAGCAGGAAACAACAAAACCATAATAACAACCACTCCAAAATCTTAACAAAAACCATAAACTTAGGTTAGCCAAGAAATTAACTACCCACAGACAGGTTGTACACTTACCGTTAAAGCAACTACGCATCCGGTAACTTTCTCCGGTGTCCGATGGAAGTCCCTTACCGAACACATGAGCATATTACGTACAGCTGCACCCCAATCATATAATTTCATGGCGTCGAAGTTGTCCACGTACCGTATCAGGGTCCAACTAATGGTCTCTCCGGACGTGGCAAAGAAAAGCTTCCCACACACATACAGACAAAGAAACTTGGCCGTATCCTCATGATCGTGCGGGGTGTCCCCCACCGAGGCCTCCATCAGCAAATCCCTCACAAGTTTGGCCGTTATCCTGCTTGTCCCTGGACACCTACGCTGGACAAAATCAGATGCAGGCCTTGGTCGTGGCGTCAAATCAAGGAATGCATTACCACCTTGCAGCCCGAACAACAGCTTCATATCCTCATCCGTCAAGTCAACTCCACGACCACCCAGAACAAACTTGCCTTCCCGTACACTATATGACCTTAGGATACGCACGATCAGATCGTCGCCCTTTCGGAACTCTGTGTGATCAAGCTGGTTGATTAATATAGCTTCAATCATAATCCAAAACGGTGTCCTTCTCAAGTATGCCAGGTGCACTTCCCGCAAATTGACTGCGTAAACCAATTTGATGATCCCAGCAACGTTAGACCAGAAATTGAGCCGTGGTTTGACAGCCTTCCTAGCACTAACGGACCGGCTGACAATATTGGGCTGCTTAAACAGGACTCGTCCAGGCATGTTCACCCCGATTTTTCTTCTCGATGACAAGCCCAATGCCTCTTGCCTTTTACGTTCACATGACCGTGTCCACTGAGACCCAGCAGAATTAACCCCTGCAGTTCCACAACTCACATAAGCAACAAATACAACTTCACCACAAAATGACAAATTGCAAAAATTCACATAGACATACATTACCCAACCCACTCACAACAACACAATCTGAAAAAAAAATCATGTCACTGAACAAAATTACTTATAACTCCAACAAAAAAATGTTCACACCACATTCACATAACGCCCGCGTACACCACACACATCAAAAAAACCTTTTGACCAACAATGTCAATTATAAAGCAACATAATAAATAACATTTGACACTTGCATACACATGCCACGTCCACACAACTTCCACACACACAAAAAATTATTCCATCCCCACAACCAGGTGCATGTGGTTCCCTCACACAAAGCACTTTTCCCTCGACAGTAAAAAACCCCACACCATAACTAATCCTTTTCACAAAAAACTTCAAACACATACCCCACACTGGCACTACAAGTACAATTTTGCCTACGTTCCAAAACCAACCAACACTTTATTCATACAACAAAACAAACACATACTCAGAAACACGCCATTACTGAACAAATTACAACGACAATCATACATACATATCATATTTTAGTGTGCGGCGTAAAACATACCACGATCGCCCCAAACCAAAATCCCTAACCACGTCAATATAGAATGCTAAACGTAAAATAATAACCCAATCCATTACCAACTTACCTGTGTCAGGAATTTGAATTACTTTTCCGTACCCCCAGCCAAACAAACCTCAGTCTAATCTGGAATGTTCGCAGAGCGACAACCTCTTCCACGGAATGTATTAGGGTTCTTGGGCACCACGAATAAACGATTTCGAACCCTAAGGATTCTTTTATGCATAAAACAAATGCATAAAAGAATTCCTAAATCAGTGTCGCTGGTTCCGCAATCAACGAAATTTGAATTTCAAATGACACAAGGGGATGATCGTATCAGATTCTGCGTTTCACGTCGACACCCATAAACGAAATCTTACAAACCCCCAAATACATCGAACAAACAATTTAGAACGGCTTCGCGGGTCGGGTTACACAGTATCACCTGACCTGAGAACTGACCCACATCACTGGCACAACACTCAACACACTCAAACCACGTCCACGGCCAAGATGCCAGCAATACACACCAACTAAAAAAAGGTATTAGTACATTTTTAATTGTTACGAGACACACAATCACACCCCCATTGCCACAAACTCACGCGCGTCCCAAATACCAATCCCTGAAATTAAGGCCTCAATGGCAAATTAGTCAACATACACTCAACGGGACTAAACGGTTACAAAAAAAAACAATTAGGATCATATGGTCTATAAGATGGGAATATGGGATTTACTGGTCAATTCCCCAAAAATTAATTTAGTGATAAAATGAAAAAAAAAAAGAAAGTCCAAATTGAAAATGATATTAGGTGATAGTTCAATGGGATAAAGTGATATGAGGTGATAGTTCAAGGGAGTAAAGTGTAATTTATCCAATTGATAAAAAGGTATTTTAATCATAAAGGTTCAAATTAAAAAAATATTAGTAGATAAGAGAGTTATTACAAATTTTAATTAAAAGAGTAAAGTGATTTGGTACAATAATTGAGGAGTTAAAATGTAATTTACTCTTGAATTGTAACATTTTACCAACAAAATGGCAGTTGTCAGCAAGAGTAGTTGAGAAAGTAGATCAAACGATAAGACGTTTAGATAAATATGATTAAAGTACTAATCTCGTGTTAAGCATTGCTCATTCAACCTGTGCATACTGGGCTTAAACAGATAATTTAAATTAATTCTGAAATGAAATAATAACATAATTTTTTTTTATTTTAAATATATCAGAAAAAAAAAGTAGACTACACTTAACTCCTCTGAAGTTAATTTCAATAATAAACCTCCCTTACTTTTGAAGGGTAACTTAACTTCTAATTATTAAGAATAATTAAATAAATAAAAAAAAGGATGGGGCGATCAGGGTGATGTTTTTATTTTTTTTATTTTGAATGGAACAAAAAAAAAAAAAAAAAAAAATTGAAAATTGGGGCTCGAAACTTGAAAAGAAAACTTCAAAACTTTGAAGTATTTTCTGATATGGTATTGCACTATTGACCCTGGTTCCTATCAGTATTTGATGTATAATTAACTTGTGTGTTTTTTCTATAATTAGTGAAAATTAACTCTTGACATTTTCCGCCTGAGGCCCCAAATTGTCTAGGGCCACCCTGCCTGTGTTATGATCGAGGAAATAAGCTTCTATGCTCTATTCTCTCCGTGCCATTTAGTATATTTTGCACAAAGCGATTGTCATCATACTCGGACTCATAACTTCATTGTTATTGATCCGAGTTTTTATCAACTCGGTAAAAATCCAAACACTAATATATAGTGAAAAAAAAGGGAAAAAAATACGAGGAAGACAATGGGGACGAAGAAAAAAAATTGCACCTATTATTTAGTTATGTATCGTTCAAAAAAAAAAACCATGATTTTTATTAAACTTCTATTGCCTGACAAATAGCCTAAAGCTCGACTATGATAAAATGAAGCCAGTTACGCACACAAAATCACCAAATGGTTGCCGCTTCTAAAAAGAATGTCTGAATAAGGAGTTCAAGTTGCTAAAGTGACATGTGGACAACTATCATGCACACAAGCAAGGACATCTTTGTAATCCCTTGAGATGGTGAAGGAATCATAGACCTTTCCGTCGCGGCTTTTCTTGTACTCAAAGAGAAGAGCTGAGTGATTAAATGCAGTCAGCTTCACAAACCCCCAATCATAATCTTTGTACAGACTCCAATGAGTATTAAGCTCGCTGAACTGCGACAAATGGCTTCCTCCCCCGCCCACAACGACATGGATTGTCCCTTGCACGGGACCAGAGAAATGAGACGTGTCTGAGGTCACACATCGGCTCTATACCACAACATAAACATAGAAAGGTAAGAAAAAAGGCAAATTAATGATCACAAACTTAGACAAGCCAAGCCTCACAAAGGTAGTTTAGAGTTTGTACCTGGTAAACTGGGCAACTTCTTTCATAGTTGTGGACATGACCATAGAATGCCATGTCCACCTTGTACTTCTGCCAGAGCTTCTGCAAGCTTTCTCTTCCCATGGGCTCTTCAAATGAGCCCTCCAAGCCATAAAATTTGTCAGAAGAATACCCAAGAACACGATGAGCAATAAAGATCAACCACGGTTGTTTTTTCCTGTCAGCTGATGCAAGGCAATGCTCAATGAACTTGTACTGTTCAGTACCCTCCCTCCAGTCATGCTCACTATCTGCTATGCAGAAGTGAAACATGCCATAATCTGTTGAGTACCTGTCAATTAAATATATACATACACAGCATTAGAAAGAATCCATGGATTCAATAAATACAGATTACTATACTATATAATAAATGAATTAAAACTACTTAAATTTGAACCGATTGAATCAATATATTTACCAAAACTTAGCTCTATTCTCTGCAGGAACATAGAACATGGTCTCAGCTAGCACGCCACATTCCCCGCCTGAGTCCATAGTGTCATAAAAGGATCCTGTACCAGGCCAATCACGCTCATGATTACCACTGCAAGAAAAATCAAGATAGAGACGTTTTTACAATCTCATAAGATGATATGTTGAATTTCAAACATGTCTAGCTGCAATATATTGTATACAAACCTAGCAATCATATATGGTTTTGTTGATGCAATAGGTTCTATCTGTGATGTGAATTGGTCCCACTGTGAGGTGTATCCATTTGAATACACTATATCTCCTATATGGAGGACCATATCATAGTTATTCAGGTCCTTGATGAGTTGATCGGTAGTATTTAGTGAACCCGGTTGATAATTACTGTACTCGTTTGATCCATCACGTTCACCCTGAAAAACATAGGATGAGATGAAAAATGATTACATTTTCTTGTTTTTCTTTTCCCTTTTGTTCTTTATTTGGGTTGGGAACTACCTTCCCCATGTCACCAAATATTATAACTCGCTGTAATGAGTCCTGGCCTATAAATGGGGATGATTTGAATGAATACATCTTGCTCCAATCAATTGAACCATTGGCTAATTGATGACCCATCTTGTAAGTATACCTGGAAGAAATAATCATCATAATGTCAAAAACAATACATATTTGAATATGCATATATATTTGAATTTTATACACACTTCTCAATATCTTTCAGTGGGAGGAAGTAGTTTTTTGACATGCATACATGGTGTTTGGCCACAAGTCCTTCAAGTAACTGGTGTGAATGAAACCCATATCACGCCAGCCAACTGTCCGTGCAGGTCCACCTGCAGGCAATGAAACTTATAATGCTACAGGTCTATATACCAAATTGGTACAATGTACAACAAAAAGCAACATGGAGTGTCAAAAACTTTTCCCTCTGCAGATTGATTAGAGCTAATGTTCAATCTCTAGTGAGAAACAAGCTAGTTTGAATCAGTTTTGGTAAAAAGCGTGATTGCTTACTCAAATCATGATTTGAATTTAAACCACCAAAAAAAAAAAAGGTTGTTTTAAAGCTTCGAAATGAAATCATAAGGTAATCACAAAACTTGATGAATTATGACAACATTAAGCCATTGATCAAATTTTATCATCTTCTTATTAGTCACTCATCAACTCAACTGCATCATTGGGGGACATGTTAGGGTGCCCAACTGAAAGTAAGATTAAGAATGTTATGGTTATATCGCACTCATTGTAAACAAAACATCATAGCAACACCATGAGCTAAAGAAATACATCATACCACACATGCTGCTCTGATGAATTCTCAATGTGCCTGCCGGGGATCGTATCTGATTACCTCCCTTGAAACCCCACTCGACCAAAGGGACGGCTTCGTCTATGTTATAGCCACTTGTCCAGGTTACAGTCATCTGCAAAGTTACAGAAACAAAGTCCAAGTAAGATGCACAACACATAGCATAGAACATTAAAAGATCAGCAGGCAACAAGAGATGAGGATGTCATTGCAAGAAAATATGCAAAAGCAGTTAGAATAAACTTACTACATCCCAAGACTTCCCCTGGGCAATCCTTGGATAAAGGGGTGCTTTAGGATTTGCAAATGTTATAGGATTTGAAATTGCCACCAATTTTGGCTGCAATAACAATTTATGTAATTAGTCCACATGAATGCTATCATCATTCAAAATAAGCATTGAAGTAAAACTAAAAAATGCATGTGAAGCAGAAAACAACAGAAAGAGTATCACTTGAACATACATTTGACAACCCGCCTGAAAATAATGCAAAGGAGAAGTCAGACCGCTGATTGATCAACTGGAAATGTATAATAGTTTTGCCTGTCTTTGTATAACCAGAGGAGGCAGCAGTTGCATATTTGTACTGTAAGAAAAGCATTTTTAATTTAGATGATATGAAATAAAATAGATAAGTTTTATCTCAACATTGACATATAAAGCCAAAAAACCTTGATGGGGGCCGAACATAGATATGGTTGTTCTTCCTTGGTATGCCATTGACAATTTGCTGGGCTGGCATGAAAAAAACAATTTCTTTAGTTAGTGATACCATTGAAGATGTAACATACACAACATCGTCGCAGTTAACAATGGATGATTTCTATAGGGAGAAAACTGAAAAGAAAACTATTGAAATTGATTGCAAAGGCTTAGTTATTATAGGCATTTGAAACAAAACAGAGCTTATGGGGGTTAAACGATGGACATTACTTGAACTTTGCAGGCGAAAAGACACCAACCCAATCATTGGGTGATGGGTCTGAGTAATCAATAGCCACATTAACCAATTCAGTATCCTCGCCCTGTAATCATATGGATCAAACTAAAAATCATTAAACTGATACCTTCAAAACCAACAAAATAATTACTGATAATATTTTTTTACTTATCATCCAAAATTCTAAATATATATTGAATTTATGAGATGATGGATTTTCTTTTGTTTTTAGTGATTTCCTTTTTAAAAAGATGGTGTCAACTTTTTTATGAGATGATGATAAATTTGTGTTAACATTTTAAAAATTGTTGAATTTATGAGATGATCGAAAACTTTTTATTTTTTTATATCTAAAAATTAAAAATCAAATATAATTGTATAAAATAGATATAGATAGTTTTCGTTAGTACCAGCATGTATACAAATTTCTGAGGGTTTGGGATTGGTTTTTTTAGTAATTATTTTGTCAACATTTTTTTTTAAAACTATTTTTCAATTTTTTTATTTTCTGGTTAGTCAAAAAAATCCCAAATACTCACCTAACCTTTATACTTTAAATAAAGATTTGAGACTTTCCTTGAACAATCTAACTACTTTTAATAAACATAAGAAAAAAAATCACATTTTGTTTTATAAAATGAATAAAAAATATAATTGTAAATTTAAATAATTTATTTTTTTAAATAAATTATTATTTATTCACAGATTCAAATTATCAGGATTCAGAATTGATAAACCCTATAAAAGGAGTAGGGAGAAGTATGAAACTATGAAGTACCCTAGACTTGTATATCATTTTCCAACTGAAAAAGAAAAATACAGATTGAATAAGAAAATTACAGAACAGAACATGTATATATATATATATTGTTACCTTCAAGCCAAGAACAGTTGGGTGAGCAGTAATGTAAGCAGTATCAGAGAGCGCAACAATTGTCTTTTCCACTTCAATTTGCGAAAGTGGCTGTTCAGATATCGATTCTTTAAGAGTCTTTTTTTTCTGACCTAAAACTACTGAATTCAATCCCAACAAAATCAACAAAATCAATGTCAATGTGAAAATCTTCAGATTATAGATCTTCATTGTCACCAAATTCTGAGTTTCACTCCAATTTTTTTTGATGATGTATATTTCAAAAACCTCCAGTGATGACAATTTATATAATATTTCATAAGAGATTTAAGGAAATAAATCAGCTAAAATTCCTTGAATTTAGGTTACAATCGACTACTCCACTCGGTCTAAGTTTCTCTTCGTATCTATCTCTTTTTTTGTTCAGATTAGTATGAATTCAATTTTTTTTAAAAAAAAATTGCACTCATTTATTTTGATTTTTAAAACTTTAAAACATAAACTTTCAAATTGAAAAAATCAAAAAAAAATTTACAAAAAATAAATAAATAAAGAAATTTTTTTTTTTGAAAAAATTGAATTATTTTTTTGTACAAAACTAAAAATTTTGTGTCTATAAAGGAGTATGATGATGGAAGATTAATTTGCAAAACTAAAAAAAAAAACCCTTTAAAAATAAATGGTAATATTTTCAGTTTTAAAACTGAAAAAAACTGTTAATATTCTCAGTTTTATTGGATAGATGAATCAAATTAATAAGTAAAAGGATAAAAAATGAAATAATTATATGAAACATTATTATGTAAAATTGATAATATTCTTAGTTTAAAATTAAAAAAAAATGATAATACTAAATAGAACTTATTAGTTCAAAAAATATTATAACATTTGTAAATAAGATTTTTAGATAAGTAACTCTTTTGTTTTTTTTGAGAACTTCATATTTTTTAAGGATAATTACATATACCCCTTGAGATTTAGCAAAATTACAGATACTCTCCTGAGATTTGAGAAATTACAGCTATCCTTGAAGGTACTATTTGCATAACAAATTAGGGAGCAAATTGTTATGAAAATATAAATCTCATGAGACAATTTGTTATAAAAATATAAACTTCAGGAGTATTTGTAATTTCTGAAATTTCAAGAAATATTTGTAATTTAGGTAAATCTCGAAAGAGGTATATGTAATTTGTCCATTTTTTAATTATGTTATGTTGTAGGCTTTCAACAGAATTCTAATATCCAACTATTATTGTAGTCCTCAAAAAAAACTATTATTGTGAATATACCATACAAATAACATATATAACGAAAAATAGAAAAATTACAACAAAAAAAGAAAAAGAAGAGTTTGACCCTATAATAAAATAAATTTATTTTTTTAATTTTCTCAACTTAAATCTTAATATTTTTATTTATTTTCAATATAAATAATTTGTCTATTTTTGTTAAATAAATAGACAAAAAATAATATTTTAGTCATTAAACTCAATGTATGTGCATATAATATGTTTAAAATATTTTTTTTGTTCAGCTTAATGGCTAAAATAATATTTTTTCTGTTATTTTTTAATTAATAAAAATAAACATATAGTTTAAATGTAATTTCCCATAAAAAAATATGGAGTTGTTTAATTAATATTTAAGTCAGCGTATTTAATTTTTTTTATTAAAAAAATATAATTTTAGATTATAGTTTTTTAACATTTTAGCATATTTAGAAGAAAAAAAGAACAAGTGAAATTTTCTTAAATTATAATTTATAATATTTTTAGTTTATTTGAAACTTATATATATATATATATATATATATTATAATATATAATAAATTATTTTTAGTTTTATATAAACTAACTTTATTTTTATTTTTAGAGTTAAATACTCAAAAAATAATATATCTATTTTTAAAAATCCTATATAAATATAAACAAACTATCCCCACTTTGATCGGTTGAGCCCACTTTGATCGGTTGTGTCTCAGGTTAACTTTCATTTTTTAATGCGGAAGAAACATTTTGTTTGATTAGTAATTTCAATCCAGGCTACCTTTCATCATGTTTTCTTCTTCTTGTTTTCTACTCTTTTTTTTTAATTTTAATTTTAATTTTAATTTTATCTTCTTAAATTTATTATATTTTTTAAAAGTAATTAAGAATCTTATATAAACCAAATATCTCTTTATTTTTTTAAATAAAATATATCTACTTTCAAAATCTACCTTCAAAAATCTTATATAAATATAAATAAATTGTTTCCCCTTACAATCGTTTGTGTCTCATGTTAACTTTCATTTTTTAATGGGACAGAAACATCTTGTTTGATTGGTAATTTCAATTCGGAAAAATGCTTCGGATCCCCACTGGGGTCGACCCCAGTGAGGTGGCGCATTATGATTGGGTAAAAAAAAAACTGTTTTATTTTATTTTATTTTTTTTTTGAGTTTCGGCCAGTGGGGTCTCGCCACCTCAGTGGGGGTGCGACCCCCACTGGGGGTATGCAGCAAGACTCTTTCAATTCGGGTTACCTTTCATTTTTTAATGGGGGAAGAAACATACCTGTCAAACATTTAAGGGTTGTTTGGGGTATCTTAAATAAATGTACTTTTTATCTTTTTAAATTAAAAAATTGAGGAAAAAAATATGAATGTTTAGATTAATTTTTTAACTTTTTATGAAAAAATATGTATTAAAAAATTGTATAAATTAGTGTGTAGAGGAAAATTAAGATTGAGAGTTGTGCAGCCGTAATTTTTGACTTTTAGTGAATAGTAATAACTTTTTAACTTTTTGAGTAACTTTTTGACTTTTTTTCAACTTGCCAAACTTAAACTTAAACTTAAACTTAAACATACTCATTATAGGGAAAGTAGAAAATTTATTTGCTGATCGTGAGCATTACTCCCAATGTTTTCAAAAAAAAAAAATTTAAATTTTCTATTAAATAAATAATCAATTGTCTAATGGACATGGGGTTTATAATTTTGTAAAATTCATATTCATATAAAATATTTGATCATTTATTTAATAAAAAATTTAGAATCTATAAGATTTTCCGTTCAAAAATCACCTGATCACGTAGGCTCCTCTCAATGTACCTTTGAAGTGATTTTATCACGGCTCCTGTCAATGGAAATGGAACAGCAATATTTTATGGAACAATGCTATAGACCACTAATTTATCATCACTAATACCACCACTAGTGAGGTGGCAATTGTAAAAAAAAAGAAAAAAAAAAAAAATAAGGCACAAAACACATGTGGCAGCGGGTCGGACCCACTGCCACATCATTAGAGCCACCACTAATTAGTGGTCTAAAGCATTTCTGTTTTGTTAAACTAATATTCTCAAAAGTTATAATAAAAAAAACTAAGGCCTCGTTTGGGAAGTAATAGTTAGTCTAAAAATCAAAAAGCTACTAAAAAAATCCAAAAGCCTATAACCTATATCAAAAAGTCAAAAATTTTACTTTCTTTCTAATTTTTGTATATCTTTTCGTAAAAAATTAAAAAGTCGTTCCAAACATACAAGTTTTTTTTATCTCATATATTAGTCAAAAAATTAAAAAAATTACTAAAATAATCTATTCCCAAATGAAATCAAAGTATAAGTGATATCTCGGTAAAACGCATTTTATATTTTATACTGTATATATAAAACATCTATAATTATTAAATATTAATAAAAGACATGTGAAATTCATGTATCAACAGGTGGAGATGCGTTAAATGAAAAAGACTCATGTATCAAAGAGTAGAGATGTGTTATAACAATAATTGAACTGGTTTAACTTATCCAATCTATCTAATTTGATTTAATTTACATAATGATGATATAGTTACTACATAACGAGTCCCAGGTGAAAAGGGTCGGACTAATCCACGCTTCTTCAACCGGTAACTGAGTGTTTAAGCCCACCAGAGAACCTGCATAGGAGTTTAATGGGGAACGGGTAGTCCCCCAGCGAACCTTCCGACGAGCAAGTTAGAGAGAGAGAGAGATGAAATGTAGAGATATGAATTGGAGATAGAAAACTTAACCTTCTTTTATCTTCAACATCTGTTTATATCCTTTGGTAATCATTTCGCCGTCCCTTCCGACCTGTCACCTTAGCCGAAAGTCTATGCTGTAGCTTACCTTGTTCAGGGTGGGGGGTGCTGTTCTGACGGAGAGGTGTTGTCGTAATAAATGCTGTGATGGGCTGCATTAATGGTGATATGCAGTGACAATAACTTTGCTGATCTTTGTCTGCTGATGTGCTTTGTCCTTTACTTGCCGTATGTCTGAATGCCATTGGCTCTTTATGCCACGTTGGATTCCAGCTGTTTTGGACTTCACCAGCCGAATTATGTATTGGGCTCCAAGTGATGGGTTTGGGTTGTTCATAGTGGGTTATGGCCTTTATGGACTTACCCATGTCACATTATATTAACAAAATCATATATGTATATATTGCAAATTATCGTTAAGTATGAATATCATAAATTAAAAACATAATAAATAAACATCACACTTATATTTATAAAATAAAAATTACAGAATAATAAACAAACTTACACAGGTTTCACAAGCTTGGAAATAAATTGGGCAAAGCATACACAGTCCTTGAAATTACTACTTCTCACACGCACACTTGCACACTTACACTTTTCACGCTCCACATCTAATAGCTAATAAAAACCTGCCATATTGAAAATATGTCTCTTCATACTAAAAAGGGTTTGCTTATATAGAGTTGGAAAGACAGATTTGAAATAATTTGAAGTCTGAAGAGAAAAGGTAGAATTTGCTTTTGATCAGTGTCACATGACTTTTGTCCTATAGAGAATCTGCTTTTGAGTAGTCGTCACATGAGTTTGTCATTGTTATAAATTCTTGGGAGTAATTGTCACATGAGTTTGTCCTTATTATAAATTATTAAGATCTACTCCTTGATAAATGTTAGAATAGTCATTGTGAAGGTCTTAAGTGGGGCTTGTTAAAAAAAATAAAATAAAATAAAATAAAAATAAAATAAAATCTTGACTGGAAATACGAGTTGAAGAAGATATTGGTGAAATTATCGATGGTCTATAGTTGTTGACAATAGGAGAAGTTTTTATAATACAATGTCGTCATTAGAATCAAAGAGGAATTTTGTGTTGGCCATTTGAATCATTTTCATTTTAATAGTATTTTTGTATTTGTGTTCAAATTCATTTTTTGGAATTGAGGGATACTTATCCTTTAGCTTCTTTTTAAGTTTACAATTATGATAATCAAAGGACTTTGAAAATTTGGGACTTGAGTAAGCCATAGAAGAAAGGGTTAACAGATGTTAATCGTTTGCATTGCTTGTATCAGGGAAATATTCTGCTAGATTATAAGTGTCATATTTTAATTCTTGGATAGTACTCAAAGATTGAGTGGCGTGTTGTTTGGAGTTAGAATATTTAAATATGACTTGTTATTGCTTTTCTAGATCAACAATATTATCGATAAATTCAAGTATCTTTTTTTCTTGTGTGGTTAAAACATTGATACTAAGACCATTTATTTCTAATATACCTTCATAATAAAAGCCTATAACCTATATCAAAATTATGAGAAGGTTCAGTATTATCTTTGGGCTCTTCATCAAAAGATTAAGTATATATATTTATAATTATTTAAAAAATTATATTATAGCATATGTAATGTAAGAGAATAATATTAACTTAAATAAAATATATTATAATTTTGGTGAATTATTTAGGAGTTTGTCTATTTCTATATACATATAAAAATTATTTTTAAAAAATGATTAAATAGAAGGAAGCATTAGTAACTTAGAATAAAAGAATTATTCTAATTATTTAATTTATTTTTTTATTCATTTGTAATTAAAGATAAAATTAAGGAAAATTTAACTTAACAACACACTCTAACTTTTAATAATGAGAGAGATGACAAATTTTTTTTTATAATATGAGGTCCTTCGTCACGAGTCTGGATCCTCTCCAGCTGAAATCTCCGTCCGTTCCTCCGGGCGACGGATGAGATTGAGCCACGTCTCAGATTTGTTTCAACCCAAATCTCTCTCTTCTTCCACACTCTCTCTCCGTCCACTCACAGTATACACTCTCTCTCTCCGTCCCTTTCTCACAGACACATACACTCACTCACACTCTCACTCACTCACATTCTCTCTCTCTCTCTCTCTCTCTCTCTCTCTCTCTCTTATTTCTAAAAAAAAAAAAAAAAAAAAATAAAAAACACCCCCCCCCTCTCTTTTGCTATCAATTCACCTCCCTCTCTTATTTGTTGTAATAAAATTAATATCATTGAAAATATACTTTTAAAATAAGACTAATATTAAATATATTTAATAAAAATTTAAAATAAATAAAAAGTAATTATTATATTTAGTTATGCTTTCAAAGTATTATTTTTAAAATATAAAAATTATTTTGATGAAAATAAATACACAAAAATCATATATTTTTGAAATTCTAAAAAATAATCTTCATTCCAAAAAAAATATAGAATAATTTTTTATTTCCTTTAAAACACAAATTCAATCTATGCATTGGTGTAAATCAAATATAGAATTTTTTTTTTTATTTCTTTAAAAAAAATTATAAACCCGTTTGGTTAATAAAATAAAATTAAAAGTCATTATTTTTATTTGTTTTTTTTGAATGAAGATTGTTTTTGAGAATTTAAAAAATATATGATTTTTGTGTGTTTATTTCATCAAATTAATAAAATTAAATTAAAAGTCATTATTTTTATATGTTTTTTTTTGGAATGAAGATTGTTTTTTAGAATTTCAAAATATATGATTTTTGTGTGTTTATTTCATCAAATTAATTTTTATATTTAAAAAATAATAATTTGAAAACATAACTAAAATCGTAATTAGTTTTTATTTGTTTTAAATTTTTATTACATATATTTAATATTAATCTCATTTTAAAGGTATATTTTCAATGATATTAATGTAATAAAATTATATATATTATGAAAATAAAATGAAAAAGATTAAAATATATTTTTTAATTTTTTATTAGAAGAGAGATATAGAGAGAGAGAGAGAGAGTGCGTGTGTGTGTGTGTGTGAGCGAGCGTGTGTGGTGGGATGTGTGACCCACGTATGCGTGCAGTGAGGAAGAGAGAAAAGGTTCATAGAAAAAGGGAATGATTCAGTGTGGTATGTTTTGAAATTTTTTTGTTTAAAAAAACAAATCTGAACCATGCATTTCTTACAGGGTGACGTGGCTCAATCTCATCCGTCGCCCGGTGGAACGGACGGAGATTCAAGCTGGAGAGGATCCGGACTCCTTCGTCACATATATCACACCCAACTCTCTTCCTCAAAATACTTCATCACATTTGAAGACTCGTTCAACAAGAAAGACTCGAGATAGACCAAACTCTACTAGGGTTTCGAAACCAGTGAGCAATGTCTGTAGTTCCAAGTTTATTGGAGGATCGTAATGGACATAGATCGAGCTCTATTTGAAAAGTTAAGCTCCAAAGATTTCTGAATCAGAGAGACGAAGACGAAGAGGTTGCAATTTCAAGCAATGTATAGTGTATTGAGTGATGTCGAAGGCCACGAAGCATCGACTCCAAGAAGATTCCACCATCGTCGTCCATGTTATGGGCCTGAAACCTTCGCCATTATATCGGATTTGGTGCTAGTCTCAGTTCTGAAGCCTTGATGGGTCTGTATTTTCTCAAATTCTTAGTCATTTGGTTGATCAATTACGAAACTCAAAACTAATTTAAAGCAATAACATGATTGAATTTGAATGGATGATGTAATTTCGCAAATTTGGCTATGTCAACAGTGTTTAAATTTGTGCCTTTATCTGAATTTAGTTGTCTATACAAAAATAACGTTGTTGTGATTTTCCCAGTATAATCAATGCCGTGGAATTGGAACCAGCTTAAGGTGGATGAGGGGTTTTTGAGTGGTGATATGGTGTATAGGGTTGTGTATATATATATATATATATATATATGTATATATAAATGATTTCTATATGAGTTTATCTCTGTTCAATTTTTTCTGGTTTGGTCAAAACACAAAGAAATCACAAAAAAAATTATAGGCAAATCAGAGAAATTTCAACCTATTCAAAATACAGAGAAAATCACAGAATATATATATATGTATATATAAATGATTTCTATATGAGTTTATCTCTGTTCAATTTTTTCTGGTTTGGTCAAAACACAAAGAAATCACAAAAAAAATTATAGGCAAATCAGAGAAATTTCAACCTATTCAAAATACAGAGAAAATTTTAAAATACAGAGAAAATCACAGAAATTGAGCAAACTAGAGAAATTTCAAATACAGAAATTTCAAAACATAAAATTTCTTTATGTTTTGAAATTTCTTTGGATCAAAATTTCTTTGAATCGAAATTTCTCTAGAAAAATGTTGTGGGACTCCAACCACTATAAAAATATTATAAGTCTTCTATCTTATAAAATCTTAATACCAAGGATCTTAAAAAAAATCCCCTAAAATTAATTTAAAAATAAATAAATAAATTTTATAATATATAAGGAAAATAATTTTAAAAATAAAAGAATAAATTAAATTTTAACTATTTTCATTAGAGTTAGACTTTTTCTTAATCTTATGTCATTACTTGTGTGTTTGAAGTTCCTAATAAGAAATACATTTCATAGTTTAATTGGTAGAAATTAAAGAATAAATAACAAAACTTACATTTATGATAAATTTTAAGGAAAAATACATGTAAGTGCAATTCTTAAAAAATAATTACTAATTAATGAAAGAATTTATCATTTTACGTTTAAAGTTTGTAAAGTTTATCAGTAATCTATAAATATTTTCTTAAACTTCGATTAACATGTAATATTCCCTAAATTTTATTGAAATTAATTTAGAAAATAAATTAGCTATAATTGTAGAGATAGAGTGGATGGACTAGAAATTTGAGTTAAATTATTTTGCCTAACATTAGCTCAAGATAATTTGGGAGTTAAGCGAATGAAACTTTTGTACTTTTTAATAATTTTTTTTCCCAATAAACTATGTCCATAAAAATTAAAAATTAAAATCATTAAAATAAAATTCATGATGAACCTACTAGCCCCACGAGTCCAACTACACCATTTAGGCACCGTTCGAGAAGACGGTTTTGGGCTAAATTAGCCACTACCGTCTAAAAAAGGCTAAATTAGCCACTACCATCCAAATGAGATTCACGTGCTTACACACAACCCAACCCAGGTTGAATTTACCAAACTAACCCCTCTCACTCTGATTCACACTATCACCACCTCACCACACACACAACATTGAAATTTTCTAGGGCACACCACACGCTGAAGCCAAAAAGGTGAATTGCCAACGCCGAAAAAAGAAGACATCTCGCGAAGCATACCAAAGTCGATCGCCACCATAGAACACATCATTGGCGTTACAGAAGACTCGTGGAGCTTGCCAAAGTCGAACGCCGTCCAGGTGCATATTTGCGGCGTCGAAGAAGAACTCACCGTCCCAAACACCACCGATCGTCAGGTATTGGTTATTTTTCTGTTTTTTTTTTTTTGTGTGCGTAAATCCATCTCCTTCAACCCGATTTGGTGGGTTCATTTGTGAAAGCCATTGTTGAGGGTGCTTAAAAATTTTCCTCCATTTTTTTTTTTAATGTTTATTTTGTGTTTGGCATGTGGGAAACCCACTACTCTGTCATGTAAATTACGACCAGGGCCGGCCCTGAGATTTAGGGGGCCCAAGGCGACCTTCGAAAATGGGGCCTTTCTTACATTGAAAAAAAAAAGTTGATGGATAAAACGATAAGTTACAATTTTTTTATTTGTTTGTAACCACAAAAAAATTTACTTACACATACAATCATTAAAATTATAAATAAAAATTTACTTTCATATATTAAGATAGGAAGCCATCATTACAAATACTCAAAAAAATAAAAATCTGGTTTTGTAGCTTTATAGTTTAGCAATATTCAGTTTACAATTGAACCAAAATCACTAATGAAACTTGGATAATCGAATTTATCCACCATATCTTTTTCAATGGATAACAAAGCTAACACATTCAATCTTTCTTGTGACATAGTTGACCGAAGGTAAGATTTGATTAACTTCAACTTTAAAAAACTTCTTTCTCCAGAGGCCATTGTAACAGGTATAGTTAACAAAATTCTATACACAATCCATGCATTTGAAAAACAACCATCCATTGTTTTTAAATAATTTAATACTTCAATTGGCCTTTTGATTCCTTTTGGTAAAACTTCTTTCAAGACATTCAACTCTGAAAATAGATCTCTCCCATCAATATCAGAAAGTTCATCATGTTTCAGAAAATCTTCAAGATTAACACAATAAGTCTTCAAACATTCCTTGTTGGTAGAACTTAACTTTTTCAAATCAAACAAAAATCCAAAGTTTTCCTCATATACTTGAAATTGTTCAAACCTACTCTTAAGTGAAGAAAGAGCGTGATCAATTATATACATAAAGTAATTAACTCTAAAATATTCTTCAGCAGTCTCTATCACCTCTTCACTAACATTCTCATCAAATTGCTTCTTTTTGCGAATGACACGCTTTTCACGAAATACTAGATCAATTTCCATTAGAGTAGCAACTTCTGTAGCCTCAATTATGGCATCCAAAAATCCAGTTTCTCTATATTTTTCAAGAAAGGTAATGAGTACTTTTAACTGAATTATAGCAACATCAATATGTATGTCTTCCTTTTGAAATATTTTGCTTACTGAGTTAACTGCAAATAATATATTGTGCCAAATAATCATGCCAAGCAAAAATTCAAAGTTCTCAATTTCATATGTTGCTAAAGACTCAGCTTCACTCTTTGTATTGTGGGGTTTACCAAGATTTGCCAAATGATTTAAAGTATCTCTTATTTGTGGAGCTTGATATCTTATTGCTTTAACACTTGCAACGCGACTTTCCCACATTGTTTGTGACAATGGCATCAATGTGAGACCTTCCACATGATCTTTGAAAACTTTCCACCGCTTTGTAGAAGATGAAAACAATAAATATATACGTTGTAACACTCCAAAAAAAGAGATAGCTTTGGGATAAGAGTTAACCATATCACAAAGTGCAAGGTTAAGACTGACAATCACATAGTGTGTAGAATGCTCTAGGATTTATTTCAAGTAGCCTTTTTTATACACCTTTGTGTTTCCCTTTCATGTTAGAGCTAGTATCATATCCTTGCCCTCTTATATCACCAATATCAAGTTGGAGTGTGCATAATACCTCTTTAAGTACATTAAAAAGACCCAATCCCGATGTGTCATCCACCTTTAAAAATTCTAAAAAGAACTCTTCCACCTATACTTGATTAGTTGAAACATCCACACATCTTATTACAAGGGACATTTGTTCTTCATGACTAACATCTGGAGTACAATCAAGAATAACTGAAAAATATTTTGCTTTTTTGATTCTTTTCACAATTGTACTTTTGATCTCACCCGCTAACATCTGTATCAATTCATTTTGGATTTTGTGACCAAGATAATGGTAATGAATTTCATTCCTTTCAATGTGATGAAGGTGGTCTTGCATTACCGAATCAAATTGAGCATTCATTTCAATTAAACTTAAAAAGTTTCCATTTCTTTCTTGAGAAATCTGCTCATTGTCTCCATGAAATGTTAAGTTATTTTTAGCAAGAGTTCTCACAACAGCAATTATCCTTAGTAACACATTTTTCCAATGTTCTCTCTCCCTATTGATTTGTTCTTGAACACCTTTATCAATTGTTTCATTCTTTTGCAATCTTTTTTCCAATTCAATCCATTTGCTCATTCAAGTAATGTGCTCATTGCTAATTTCATGACTTCTAAGCCTGTGACCTAGATTCTTCCAATCTTTAAATCCATTAGTAGCCAACTGAGTCTTGTTCCCATCTTCCTTAAACAACTTACAACAAAAGCAAAATACTTTGTTTGAAGCATCTCAATATACTAGCCATTTTCTATCTTGCTTCTCTCCATTTGATAAATTTTGAATGTAATATGTAGAGGAGAAATGTCTATCCTTGTCATCTCTAGGAAAATTGACAACATTACTTCTTACAGGACCTTTTTCAACTAATAAATCTCTGAAATTCTGATCAATCTTGTCTTGGGTCATTAATATTTAAAGGTCCATATTCAACATTAAAATCTTCACTTTCAATGGGTTCCTCATTCACCAAATCTTCATTTTCATTCTCATTCAAACATTCAATAGGCTCTTCAACACCCAAATCTTCATTACATTGATTAAGTTCTTCAATTACCAAATCTTCATCAACCAAATATGAATTTTTTATTTGTTTCTTACTACCAAAGCTCCCGATTGAGATTGAATAAAATTTTCTAATTTTTGCTTCTTTTTCCTTTTTTCACATCCAAAAATATAATTCCTAGGAAGCATGACTACTCTATATAATCACAAATCCACACAAATCCACACAAATTCACAATCACTGATTTCTGCAAATAATATACTTTCATAATTAGAGCATAACAAAAATTATAGACTTCCACTAAAGAACATAAATTAGGTAATTTTCTAATTTAAAGAACAAATTATATAGGGCAAGAAATTAGGAGGAAAATTAGGGAAAAAATTAGGGCAAAAACTTTTTCTATTTAAATGTGATATATATATATATATATAGAGAGAGAGAGAGAGAGACTCACGGTTTTGATGCCCAAAATCGTTAATGCTCAGTAGCGTCCGTCAAATATGGAGGAGAGGAGAGGACTGAAGGTGGACTCACACAGTTTCATCTGTCCAATGCGAGAGAGAGATCAATCCAATATGAGAGAGAGAGAGAGAGATGTGTTTCTTTCAATGTTTCTTTCAGTGAGAGTGACCCACGTGAATTCATTCCTCTCAGCCTCCTCAGGGTGGGTATTATGATGTGCTTCTTATTTTTGGGCCCATGTTGAATTGGGCCTCTATTATGATATATATATATTTTTTTGGGCCCCATGTTCAATTGGGCTTATAATATTTGGATTTTTTTTATTTTTTATATCTAAAAAACAAAATCATATTTTGGGGCCTTATTTTTAGCCCAAATCTCGGAGCCCAAGGCACAGGCCTCTTTGGCCTGCCATTAGGGCCGGGCCGGGCCTGATTACGGCAAAAACCTAATTTTTTTGTTTCTGAATCTGAGGTTCATGTTTTGTTTTTCTTTGTTTTTTTTTTTTTTTTTTTGTGAAACTGAAGATCTGATAATTTTATTTGTTCGAGTGGTCAATCTTTTGTGCTTCATCAGATTCTGTAAATTATGTTTTTTTTTCAATTTTTTTTTTAAACTGAGCTTCTGATAACCCTTTCACAAATTCTGATGTGCTGAAGTTCATGTTTTTTTGTTTTTTTTTTTTTGTTTTTGTTTTTGTTGTTGTTGTGAAATTGGTGTAGTTCCTGTTTCTATCTTGCCAAATTGATAAAGCAGATGAACCATTTGACAAAGTTATATATTTAATTTTAAAATTTTATTTGGGATTTTAAAATTAACCCTTTGAACATGAAGGAACAATACTGAACAAGAGTTAATTTTTTGCCAAAATTAATTTTTTTGGGATTGTAAGTAACACCACGAATTAATTTTATTTTTCCCAACATGAATTAATTTTTTTTTTTGGCCTTTTGAATTGTTTGTAATTGAGGTTCTGTTTCTGTTTTTTGCCAACATGAATTAAATTATTTTTTCTGTAATTTTATTCTGCTCATGCTTTTTTTTTTTTTTTGTTAATCCTTTCACCATGGCAATCTAAATTTTTTGTTAACCCTTCTGAATTTTTGTTTTTTTTTATTGTGCTTCTATTTCTATAAAAAAAAATTTCATCATGTCGCAAAATTGTTTTTTTTTTTATTTTTTATTTTTTATACCATGGCCTTCTGAATTGTTTGTAACTGAGGTTCTGAATTTTTTATTTTTGTGAATTGCTCGAATTCCTATTTCTATCTTGCCAAATTGATGAAATGATGACAACATAGAAGTAGATCAGAAGTTAGATTTCAATTTGAATTATTATTTGGGATTTATAAATTAACCTTTTGAACATGAACGAACAATACTTACCATGAATTAATTTTTCGATTGTAAGGAACAACATGAATAAATTTTATTTTTGCCAACATGAATTAAATGTTTTTTTTCCTCTAACTCTACTCCATGGAAATGTTGGGTTAGCTTTTTGATTGTCTCTTTTTATTTTGTGAAATTTGTATTTTATCTATTAACTACAGTCATGGTGTGGATTAGGGTTTTTACATTGCAAATGTTAGGTTAGGGTTTTTATTACATATTTCTCTTAAAACTTTTGGATTACGTTCTTTCTGACTATGCTCTATGGAAATGTTGGGTTAGCTTTTCGATTGTCGAATTATTTATTTATCTCTTCACTAAAGCTGTCCTAGTTTCGATAAGGGTTTTAAATTATGTGCAATTTCTGTTTTCTGAAATACAAATTTTAGAACCCCTTAATTAACAAGACAAAGTCAATTCATGTTGAGGGTTCTTGTCAATCTCAATTGTAGCGCAAGAGGAACAGTACACCTTTGATTTAACACATGGAATTTAGTTTCTAAAATTGAGAATTTGAAATGTTAATTTGGTTAATTGTATCTTTGTAACGCCCTAACTTCTGGGCCATTAAATATATACAATAATACAACACAAGTAGGATAGATAACCAAAACATCTTAATATACATATATAACCAGAGTTAATATCACAGATATTTTGTTTATGTTCCATTACAGGATTACCAAAACATTGCCAAACCAAAAGTTGAAAGGAAAAAAAACTACTAGTCTAAGTCTTCATATGAACCACAGCTCTAACACTTCATCTTATTTGCCTTCGAAATAACCTTCACCATTGAAACTACTTCATCACCTTGCATGATACGCCATGAGCTTGGAATGTCCAGTAAAAACACCCCCCCATATCTTCTATCAACCACTTAACCATACACAGAACAAATTGGGTAACATAACATACAATAGTTCAATGAATTAGCAGTTAGACTAGACATCTAGAATCCCCCAAAGAGATCCTTCTACCCAACCACAAGGATTGAACACCGAATTATTCAGAACCTCCCCTTTTGCTGCATTGCAAACCTTACCACATATGCCCACCTCCCGGTTATCTATCAATCAGTGACATTGATGGACCTCAAAGGGACAGCGAAACAAGTGGGCTCGTTTACACCCAAATTGTGCCTAGGGCTGGCTTACACCCTGCACATATCATACCAAATCGTGCCTAAGGCTCGATTACACTCTGCACATACCATACCAAAGGGCTTGCTTACACCCCGAAACCACCGCATAGAGTCTGAATACATCCATGTCAACCTAAGGGCTCGCTTAAACCGCTTGCGTAAGACTTAACTCATTTGATTTTAATCCCATCTTAATTCATGTCATTCATATGTATAAATAATTCCACAACACTAATGTGAACGTTACCCATTGCCAACCCCTTATCATTTCCCGTTTATTAGATCTTTTGCCAAGCAAGTTAGTCACATTCGGTAATTCGGTAATATAAAAGAGCCTGAGACAAACATAAGAGCGGAAATATAGCCCATGATAACCATGCATAAGTATGGTATGGCAAGCAAACAACATTAGGCATGCTTTGAAATACTTAGAGACAAATAACACAATAAAACACCATTTTCAGCATTGTTCAGTTCTGCAGGGCTAACAAGAATGCTTTGGTAAAAATACTTCCAGGTCACATTAGGGGCTGAAATTGCACAGAAACAATAATCAACCCATCTAGTTTTAGTTCCAATTTTCAAAATTTGCATAGCACCTCCATAAATTCATTTACAAGCTATATTCAAAAACCTGTCCAGATTTGTCACCCTTTGGGAAAACTAGCTTTCCTTTCAATCTATCTGATGATTTTCACCCAAAAAAATTC